TTTTTATTTTTATCTTTTATCTTTATTATCTTGTGTTGTTGGATGTGTGTATGTGTTAGTGGAGCGTGTAACAAAAGTAATTTCCCTCTGGGATTATTAAAGTATTTCTGATTCTGAAGCATTCTGCCTTAATTCTTCTCACCTGTTCCTCACCTGGATGCTCTTACTTGACTTCATTCCCTTTCTCCACACTTATGTATTTAAGTATTTTCATTTTAATTTTCCCTGCTGATTTTTGTCTTGCATGTTTGCCCTACAATGAGCCATATTTCTCTGTTTTCTGTTTCTCCTAAGCTTCCACTTTTTACCTGCCTTCTAAATTCTGTAACATTTTTCTAGCCTCATTATCCATTTTATCTTCAGAGGTTCAGTTTGTATATTTGTGTTGTACAGAAAACTGTATATCTAAAACCTCCAGTAATACAAGGTTGCAATGTTAACATGAACTAACTGCTCTTTATTTGTAGACATGCAGTTGAGACTTGCAACTCTGAACTGTAAATACTATGTAAGAAATAACAAGAAAAAACTTGAATTGCTTATAAAAAATTAAGCATACTTTAATCAAACTGAATTTAAGATCCATTCTTCTCAAAGTCAGAAATTAAAAGTTTCAAATTTTTTAGTCTTTATGTGTTTAATCGTTTGATTATATCCATAAATTTTCAAAAACTATTTTTGCTGATTTCGTTTAGAAATATCCTAACATACTTGCAGCAAACAGGAAGATATAAATAAGTTGTGTTTACGCTTATATTTCAGGAATTTTGCTGACCAAGACTGGAAAGTCAAACAAACAGCCTTTCGTTTCGAACTCCAAGCTGAGGTTTGTTTTTATTTATCTTTGGCTAAATAGATTCACTTTTAAACATAACAAATCATTAATATTGCTCTAGGAAAGATCTTCAGCTTGACCGACTAAACTTTCTGAAAGCTAAAAATATTTTTTGGGGACTTTTAGAAAAGGGATTTTTGCTACAGTACATCAAAGCAATTTCCTAGAAATATCAGCTGTCATAGAGTTAACAAAGGTCTCTGATGTAAAGAAATAATTGTGTTCAGCATATTAGAATGATACTGTAAAGTAGATTTTTTTATTTCATTATTTCCAAACCATGGGTAAACACATCATGTGTATTTATTACACACCAGTGATGTTTTCTTGCCTTTTTTTCTGTTAATTGTGGGGATTTTCATCTTAAAGCTAAATAAAACACAACATTTAAAGGAGAATTCCGGTTTTTAACACTTTTAGCCCATTTTCTGTAGTGTCCAGGATGAAATCGAATGATCGACACCAAAATTTTGAC